TGCTTCTCTGCTTAATGCTCCATTAACCTCCATTTAAGGTGGAATCACAGGTCCTGGTAGGTTTTCAGATGTACCAGGTTCCTTTCATTGCTAGATAATAAATTAAACAGAGCTCTGTGAGATGTTCAAAGCTTGGGATGTCATTTTATAACCCCTTTTAACATCTTTATCCCTGGCCTGTCTGTAGCAGTCGTTGGTCTTCATGATGCCATTTGTTCACAGTTTTCTCTGAGGTCTTATGGATTTATGCTGAAATTAGTCATTTTCATTCCAAGTCACAGTCGTGGACCACTTTGTATTGTTCAATCACATAAAATCCCACACAAAATACATTGAAGATTGAGGCTGTAATTTGACAAAAGTATTTTTGCAGTGCGCTGTTTTTTTATTTTAGTCTCTTTCCTTGTAGGAATTTCATCACTTCCACAATCAATGCCAAAATCATGCATTTGAACACACAGACCGGAGTCATTCAGACCGTTCTTCAGAATGATTATGACCCTCTCCATGCACTGACATGCCATCCTTTTCAACCAGTTGTAGCCTTTGGCAACCTACAAGGCATGTTAAGACTATGGGATTATAACTGCAAAGCGATCATTGGCAACAGGATCTTTGAGACAGAAAAGCAGATTCAGTCTATTACCTTTGACCCAAAAGGTGAGCAGGTCTGCTTCTTGAAAGATGCATGAGACTGCTTCCTATGCCCTGATTTATCTGCTGTTTGCAATATGGTTGACATCTAAAATCCATCAGTTGTCTTTTTGTCTCTGCGCAGGTTTATTCTTGGCAGTGGGCTTTAGGACTGGAGCTGTTTACATACTGGATGCCACCACTTTGCAAAATAACCCTCAGGAAATCTTCAACTGCATTAAAGACAGCATCCATCTGATCACCTTCTCTCATGACTCGCAGTACCTTGCCACTGCAGTGAGTTTGCGTCATCAGGTTTTTTACTCAGTGAAACTAGCGATGCACCATTGATCAGCTGTTAAAGTTGCAGTTAAACTAAAAAGAGTGTCCTTATTTCCATCATTGACCACTGGTTTTATTCAGAAAAAGTGACAAAATGACTGGGCTTAATCTTCCTTGTGTCTCCTCGCTTCTAGGATGCTAGTAGAGTGGTATCGCTTTTCCGCAATGAGGGTCACACAGACTCTTCGCCTCGGTGGATGTTTGTGGGCAGGTACTGCTCTCACTACAAGCCCATCCAAGACCTTCTTTTTGGGGTTCAGCTGTACAGCGCCAAGCCACGACTGCTCTCAGTGGGACTGGACCGTCAACTAGTTAAGTCACACAGTTTATTTTAATGCTTTCTGATCCACTTATTGTTGCCTTTTACTTTACTTAATGTTGCGTTTTGTTTTGCATTGGGTTACTAAAAATTAATTGACTTTCTGATCATATTTTAATTTAATGAAGTACACTTGTACGTAACTCTGTGTATGTGTTGTATGGAGCAACAGGTGGAGTATGACTTGGAAAAGAGTGAAAGCAACAAGCTCCTCCTCATCAGCATAAAGCGTATAGAGCAAAGTGCCATGCCCCGGTGCATGACTTGGTATCCTTTTTTCAACCCAGAGGAGTTCCTTCTTGTCTCCTCAGACAATTACAAGATGAAACTTTTCAACAGCACAACCACGATGTGCAGGTCCGTAAAGTCATGAGACTAAATCTAATTTGTCACCTCAAATTACAGCGTAAGTAATACTTTTTTTTTTTTTTTTTTACAAAAATAGAAAGACACTTCTTGGCCCAACCTATGGTTCTCCAATTAGAAAAATTATAGTTCTTCCCAAGGCCACGGCATCTAAGACAAAATCACATCACCTGGCATTCATCACAGACAATATGGTCAGTGCTGGAGCAGTATTTTACTGTGGCTAATCTTTTAATTGTGAGATCTTTAAAAACTGAAACAGTGATTTCCTGTATCCTTCAGTTGGGTCTCCAGATTTTGCCAATGGACGGGAACCCCTACAAGTCCAGTGCTTTGATCTGCCATCCAACAGGCGTGTCTACCTTTTCCTGCTCCTACGATGGCAAGTTTGTCTTTACTGCAGGAGGATCTGACAGTAGTGCTCTGTCATGGAAAGTGAACTTAGAGTAAGTTTTGCTTCTACCAAGTCAGCAACCAGAGACAGTGTAAGAGCAGAGCCACGACTTGGCCTGAATCCTGTTTCTCTTTCCTGTTACCACAGCGTGCTGGACGCAGCAGCCGCCTTAGGCGGAGCGGACATGGATCCTTTTTATTCACTCATCGAGGGTGGAAGAGACGGCAGGTTTTACAAGGTGAGTTAAAAGTTAAACAAATGCTGATTCTTTAATTTGGCTTACCAGGAGAAGAATCATAATGTTATTATGTTAGCCTTAATTGCATTTATGTTGTGATCTGGGGAGCAGAGGAGTCAACTCGGCTTATCATCCACTCTGTGGGAATATCATCATATTGCCACTGAAACCTACTCTACTACTGACATGTGTGGAAGCACATCTACCAAAGACAGAATAACTCATGGCATAAAAATGAGCATTTTCAACGGTTGTCAGACTGGGAAAGCTGTGTCATATTTCAGTAACTTCTTTTGTGGCTCCTTAAGAAAACATTTCCAATGAGATATGCATGAATGATGCCTCCAGTTTAACAAGAGATTCCCTTTCACCCCCACCATGTTAAATTTCTTGGTGTTTGGGACAAAAATAGTGTTTCATCATATCAAGAAACACAGAATGTGCAGCCATTTTCTTTCTCTGGCAACAGAAATCCAAAATCTCCAGTAACAAGAAGCGTTTCTAGCTTGTATCGCACTCTGGGAAAACAACCCCACCCCCACACTGGAGGGTATTTTAATCATGTTTAAGGTGTCAATAAGAAAATGCACCGTCAGAAAGTTCAGAAACTCCATAAAAGACTGCTGAAGCTGAAATGTGTGACAGTTTTGTTCATTTGACAGCTTTGACATCTAAGAGAAAATCACATCACCTGATTGTACATCTCTCTGAAAGAGATGTACAATTCAGTCTTTATTTGAAGCTCATCCTCATGTACTTATTTGAGTTTCTGGTCTTTACAAGATAGAGACAGAGATGTACACCTATTTGTAAAGCCATTTTTTTATTTTATTTTAAGAAGACATTCTTAATGTTTAAAGCATTTGCATCTTTAGGAAATGGAGGACTTTTTCTTTTACTGCCAAATTCGTCATCAAGGCACTGACATGATGAAGAGAATAGAAGTATCTACCAAAATTCCTCTATCAGAAGTTCCCTTTTTAATGAGAGCTTTGGGACACTTTCCAACAGAACAAGAGGTATAAGAACAATACAACAAAAAAAACAGTTTCATTCATAAGTACTTTTGTTACAGTTCAGTGTGTTATCTTTATCAGATAGAAGACATGTTCAATGAGATCAAATTCAGCAGATATGCTGAAACTGGAAAGTATGTGACTGATATTGACCTGGAGGACTTCATCAAGCTGTACATCAATCATCGACCAGCCTTTGGCATCTCCAGTGAAGAGCTTCTTCAAGCTTTTAATGTTCTTGGAAAAAAGAATCTTCTCGGGAACCCTATAATCCAGAAAAGTGAGATGATAACATTTCTACAGGCTCGAGGTACGCAGACACTTCATCTTTCTGTTCGACTGTTTTCACCTGTGTAACTTTTGCATGAAAGAGGACCCTCCTCTGTTTTAATGGCCATATAAACTTATTGTGATCTGTGATGTGAACCACAGGAGAGCACATGACAGAAGAAGAGGTAGCAGATTGTCTTACCACCCTTTTGGGCGTCAATGAAAAAGAAGGAGAAGAAGAAGAAGAAGAAGAAGAAGAAAAAGAGGCACTTGGTGAGCAAATCAGAAACAATGAAAACAGAAATAATCGAAGCCAAAATCAAACAAGAAAAAATCTTGAAAAATAGCCATCCCTTTTTAATGTGTCTACACAGCTGAGGAATGTTCACTGGGGAGTGTGATCCCAGAAAGGATATCTGTGGAGTTATTTACACATCAGATCCTTGGCTTACCATTGGGGATCAAGCAGAAAATCAAAATTTCCTCTCAGAAATGATGACATCAACAACCTGCTAGCAAGTCATGAAGAATATGTGTTCAAGATTTTACCTTTGAAACTGTTTCAGGATTTCCATGTATAATATGTTCTTACATTTCTACTAAATGTTTATATGTGTGCTCTGATTTAAAAGAAAAAAATGTGAATTTTGAGGGCATCTTCTAGACAAACATGGGTCAGATTAGTTTGAAATGTAGGTAGTATTTGAAAACATAGTTTACTACAAAGATTACAAGTAGCGTGATTTTTTTCTGACACCTTTTTAATTTCAAACACTAAAAATATTGCAACTTAAAACAAAAAAAATGTCTAATGGAAGTCTAACTGAAATGACAATACATTATAAAAATGGACTGTGTTTACTATTAAAACATCTTATATTTGAAATGCAAACAAAACGCAGTTTGTGTATTTAACTTTTACAACTTCAATAAAGTCGAGATAAAAACTACTGAGAGTTTCCTTTTTTGAAAGTGGAATTAAAATACCATCTAGTTGTTGTTTTACATAATGCACAATTTAACAATTAATTCCTAGATCATACATTTGAAATAAAAATGGACAATATCACATAAAACAAACTCAGTTTGAGATTTATGATAATGATGATGATGATGATGATGATGATGATTATTATTATTATTATTATTATTATTATTATTCTAGAAAATACTAATGCAGTATTTTAGGCATCGGATTCATGATTTGTGAAATACATTGTGAAAATAGTTGATAAATAAGATTCTTTTGAAAAGCAGGGGTGGGTTGTCTTCCCCAGGGCCCCACTATACAGCCACTGAGAAGAATTCCTATCGCTTATGCGTCTTATGTCTCCAGTTTATTTTAGGTTCTACGCTGTGGGAGGGGCTCCAAACTTGACCAATCAGCAGCGGTTTTATAGAACACGCTTGTGATTCTGGCCAATCGGATATGGTCTAACACAGGAACTCGGTACTACAGAAGGAGCAGCAGCGTTTTGTCAGCTGCGTCAACTACATAAGAAGATAACAACAGCTTAATTTTGGGCTGTTAATAAGCAGCGGCAAACTTTAACATGGCTGAAGCGAGGACTTTATTTTTATGGCACAAAGTTGACAAACTTTAACAACAAGACTCAAAACGCGTTTTCCGTAGCCGTCTATGACGAGCCTCATGAAAGCAAGAGCCTTATTGTCCTAGCTTGCTGGTGTTGGCTAACGTTAGTTAGCTATTTGTTTGTTGAGTTGCCCACATGGCTACCAGAGAGACATGTCAGCGGCAAACTTACCGGCGGCCGGCTGCCAGCATAAAGCAGGAGCAAGATGACGACTCGGATGTGGAGGAGACTCACATGGGGTTACGGAGGGCAGACGGGCTGGAGTCCCAGATCATCCACAGTGGACACTTCATGGTGTCGTCGCCGCATATCGAGCACCCCCCGAAGAAGGGTTACGACTTCGACACTGTCAACAAACAGACCTGTCAGACCTATCATTTTGGCAAGACGAGCACGTCGCACCTCTCCATAGATGCCTCTTTGACTAAGCTTTTTGAGTGCATGACCCTTGCATATAGGTAAGCTTCAATTTGTCTGCCTGCTGTGTTTATGGTACATGCATTTTCATTTTAGCCCCTGGTGTTGCCAAGCTCATGTTCAGCTTTCCTCTCCAGTTAGCTGCAGTCACGAGTCTTCCCTCCTCATAACTTCCTGTTACATCAGTCTTTAACTTGCACTAAATCATTTTTCCTTTTGTATTAGTGGGGCAAAACAAATGAACCTGTCCTGCCTTGCCTAACTCTGCCATAACCTGAAGTGAGCTTTGTAGGTAGTGAAAGAAGTGAGTTACCCAGTTATCAGTGCCAAACTATGGAAACTGCAACAAAGGAAGCATTATCAGCAAAATAACACTGATCTGCAAATAGAAAATGGCCCAATTTAAACATATAGCATACTCTGACATCTGACTTTATCAGGTTGTGCATTGGCAGCTTGTTACTACATCTTCTGAAGCTGGACTAATTTTATCGTATTTTTTCAGATGGTTTACCAAGTCTAACTCTTATAACATGTTATAACATGCAATTTATGTTTAGAGAACCTTTAAATTCCCCATGTTGGGACACTTAATTCCTGGAGAAAGTGGTTTGAGGAAAATCAACCAAAACGGAAACAAAACAGAACAGCTTTTATCCTTTGTTACAAAAGTAGACAGCCGGTTTATTCTTCAAGGACAGACTGATGCGAAAGCAACACAGGTGAGCACAATTGCTCCATTTTTGTGTGATGCATTGGAGTGATGATAATCGCACTGTAAATCAAAGTTATTAAACTTCCACCATCCTTTGCAAGTCCACCTCTGAATATCAGCTGGCTCATTAATCAGACGCGTTTTCCATAGCCGTCTATGACGAGCAAATGGGTAGCCAAACTGGAATTGGCTGAATAAAACACATGCTGCCTATTGCAGTTTTAAAACTATCTTGGCTGCATAGGAGAGACGGATGATGACCATTTAGTTTTTACATCTTGAAATATTTCCAAACAGTAGAGTTTGAATTTCTTGTGCAGACATGAGCTGGTGGGTCGGTCTATCAGTCAAAACTTTCTCACAGGACAGCAGAAGAGGACAGTGGTGGATTTTTAGACCTTTGCCAATGTAGATAAGATCGATAGATAAGATTGGCTTCACACATCAGCATCGGCAAATCACTAATCTCTTAAAATTAAGGAAATTGGCACCAAAAGAATTGGCTGGCTGATAAATTAGTACATTCATAGCTGTTACTGTTTGCTTCATACATCCCGAGAAAACATACTCCGACACTTTTTTCTTTAGTCTTATTAAATGTATTTTAAGCTACAGGATTGGAACGAGGGAAGTTGTATTAAAGTTGAAAGATTGGATCCCAGTTATTCACTTCCAAGGAAATTAATTAATTATGTAATTAACATTATTACTAACAGACATCAGGCTAACAGATCAATCTGATCCACACATTTGTGGAGTTAATTTAACTTGAAAGTCTTTTTGAACTCATCCAAATAAAGTGGGACCTTATAAAACTCACCGTTTCATAAAAAGAGATTCCAACCCATAATGGCTGCTGGCGGACCGCTTGCTCTTTTAATAGGTAACACACTGTGCTTTGTGTGTGTGTGTGTGTGAGTGACTACTCCACATATTGTGTTCATTGCATGAGTCAATTTATAATGCGGTGACGTCAGATGGTTGAATCAGCTCCAAAAGCAATAACGATAAACTACAGTGATAAAATTTCTGTTAAAACAGAGCAACTTAAAAAACACTCTCAGAATTCAAAACATGGAAAAAAAAATCTTCCTAACAACAAAAACTATTTGAGAAGATGAGGATGTTGGAAACGGTAAGGAAACAGAAGAGAAATTTAAGAAAAGCTTTTCATAAACACAAACTTATTAAAAAAAAAAACAGCTAAATACACAAACATAAATACAAAATGGAAATAAGGATACTGATTCAGTCTAATGCTTGTTAAATGGGCAAATAACTAAAATAGAAACAAAATATGAAAACGTAGATGAAAATGTACATGCTAAAGTTGCTTAAAATAATAAAATATAAGCAGATCATACTTGCTAAAAATGTTAATGACTAAAACAAAAAATCAAAATCAATGTTAAGCAATATTTTCACATAATTCTGTCTACAACAGTAAAGATAGAAATAAAACAATAAAGATATAAAGGGCAAAGTTCAGCCAAAAGCCAGACTGAATAGATTTTTAGTTCAAGTTTAAAAGTATCTAAACTCTTAGCTGCCTTCACGTCTACCAGAAAGCCAAGTGAGGAAAATTATGATTAACAGATTATTTAAGTACGCCGGTTATGTAGTGGGAACATTCATATAACCATAATAATAATCAATATTATTATTTCCTCAGGAGTTAAAGAAAATGTTTTGTTATAAATAAAAACAATAAGAGCATGTTTACATGTTTGAAATACTTTTGTAAACACCCCAGTAGAATCTCATAAAAGCCGTCGTTTGTATTTTAGTAGCAAAATACTGTCGTTCTTATAGCCAATGAACAAGATTAAGTGTTTTAGCTGCATTCCCGGCATTGGAAATAAAAATTTAGCTACTGATTATGTTCGCAGGTAGTAAGATTAAAAAAAAAAAAAAAAACCCCGTAAGGCTCACATTACCCATGGTTCTCTATTTACAGTCGCAGCCAGCTGCTCAGAGGATTCCCTCCGACTTCACTCTAAATTAGCCTCACTGGAACAACTATTAATAGAGCGGTTACTGTTTAGTTGTTGTTACCAGTAAGCTAGATATTATGAGCAACATTTTCTCACAGCAACAGCGCCATTAAATTGACTAACTCTGCTCTCCTCTCTCCGTCAGTGTGTCCATGTCCACTTTTCTTCTGCTGTTACAAAACGGTGGCATGCAGTTTGCTTGTTCAGCAAATTCTTTAGGAAAATCTGAAGAAGAAAAAAAGGGTTGAAAGGAAGGACAGATGGCTAGTAAAAACGTGGGGAAACACAGAACAGGAAGAACGAAAACAAATCAATCTTTGGAATATGATTAAAAACACTCGCTACTGCTGTTTAAATAATACATTTGACCTTGTTCTACTTCTCAGAGCTTAAGACTCTGAGTTGTTCAAGTTTCAGTCTTTTTGTTGCTTAATGTCCTCTGGTAATGAACAGTCTGTCCACAGCCTGTAATTTTAGCGTTTCTCACTTATCTCGGATCTAGTAACCACATCGGTGTAGCTGGAGAGCTTCGATACAGTCTTTGTTTCTCAGGGTGCAGCTGAACTTGTCTGTCTGTGTTATCAGGTACAAACCACCCATTCATTAGACTGCTGTTGAGATAAAATAAAAGAGTAATTCATTTAGACAGGAGTTAGGTTTCAGATTAAAAATTGTTAGGAAACCGTGCCTATTCTTTCTACCACTTCATAATTATGCTTTACTCTGTGTTTTGGTCATATAAAGTAAATAAAAATGCCCAAAATATATATTTGTAGTTTGTGATCCAGGGAACAGTAATATTCCTTGCAACTCCTACATTTTGTGTCTGTTTGTGCTGTTAGTTTGATGAAAATAGATCACTTTAGTGACTGGTCCACTGTTGATCTTTTTTTTTTTGTTTTCAGCGGTAAGTTGGTGTCTCCTAAATGGAAGAACTTTAAAGGTCTAAAGCTGCTGTGGAGAGACAAGATCCGGCTGAACAACGCCATATGGAGAGCCTGGTACATGCAGTGTAAGAGTTCCACCTTCCAGTCTAACTGTACTTAATTAAAAAACATTTCTTAACCTATGTCAATATTTCAGATTTTTTTTTCTATTTTGAATTGAGAGTGAATTGTTTTGTTGTCTTCCCTCAGATGTGGAAAAAAGGGGAAATCCCGTTTGTCACTTTGTAACCCCGCTAGATGGAAACATAGATTTGGACGTCCATCGCCCTGCAGAGGTAGGGACGGAGTATTCTGTGCAACTCTGCGTTTGTTGCCGACTTTAACTTCCTGTTTGTCTCCTTTCTTCAACAGGCTATTGCTTCAGATGGGAAAAACTGGAAAAGAAGAATTGAAATTGTTATAAGAGAATATCACAAATGGAGAACATACTTCAAAAAAAGGGTATGGTTGTTTTATAATGTGATGCAGTGCTTCAATAATTAATTACATTTTGTAGATATTTCAATCTCTTTCTTTTGTTTGGTATTAAAATATTATCCAATGTTGCTTCCGCTGTCCTGCAGCTACAGAAACACAAAGATGATGACCTTTCCAGCTTACTTAAGGTATGGAAATGATGGCAATTCATAATTTATAATTTCATGATTCAAACACTCTGGAAACATATTGAATTTGGTTAGAGTGTATAATTTGTTAAGCCTTAATAAATATGACAAAAATCTTGAGTTTCCAAATTTTATATTTTATGCTGTTATCTAAAAGCTGTATATTACAAATTTTGAACAACCAAGCAAATTTTATTTGCATAGCACCTTTCAGCAACAAGGCATTTCAAAGTGCTCTACATCATAAAAACACAAAATTACAAAGTCATAGAACACACAGTCACCAGCATTACATTTTGCACATCAGATTATTGATTAACGTTTCATGATTAGGTTTCAAAGGCAACTCTAAACAGCTGAGTTTTTAGTCTACATTTAAAGGTGTTTGAAAACACTTGCTGGAAAAAAATCTTACATATTTGAGTGTTTGTAGTAAAAGACACCGAAAAGAAGTTCTGTTTTGAAATGGGATTTTTGTTTGTTTACTCTCTGAAATCACATGGCATTTAATGTTTTTCTTTTGAACATTAAGTTTCTGCTGTTGTTTCAAGCTCTGTGTTTATACTCTGTGCTCAGATGTGAATGCACAGCTTGAGTGCTCATTTCCTGTGTATAGATGAATGTGATCTTGATGATTTATGCATAAGAAGTGCAACCAGTCTGATCTAGACATGGGCCAGTTTGAGGTTTTTACTGAGTGAAGATACAGTTTATACAGGGACACACAGATGGTGAATTACCAGCTGTTGCAGTGTCCTGCATTCACAGTATTAATACAGAAATTTAAAGCAAGATTGATTGGCATGATTGTAGCATAACGACCTTCATTGAAATCTAAAAAGCAATAATTAATTGTGACTCCTGCTAAAATGATGTTACGTATTGATTTACTGCGGTAACTATTATCAGATTCACACATGGATCTGCTTCAGCTAACATTATTTTTTTGACAAATCAAGGATTAAAATGTACTTTAGTCAAAAATAGTGACATGAAATGTAAATTAAAACATTGAATTTGCCATTTTAAAATTACCCTGTTAATTTGGTGAATTTTAAGTAAGCAACTATTTTCTATAATATTTTATTTACTGCTGCTTGATAGACAGTACCGCCCCAGCCACTAAACGTAACTGGATTAAAAAGAAAAAGATAGATTATTAGTAATTTCTTCTTTTTATAAATGAGAGATTTGTTGGAGTGAGTGTTGAAACTGTTAAGGGAGCAGCAGAACAGAACAACTCTCCTCCAAACAGCCTGAACAAATTAATGAAAACGTTAAAAAGACTTTAAACAATGTGATGGAAATTTGAGTGGTTTTCAAATATTGCTTTTTTAAAAAGTTTTGTATGACTTCACACAAGTAACTGGCCTATTTTCCTCCCCAACTTCATCATTTTGACTGGAGGAGTCAGGCAGTTGGACCAATTTACCCAGAATGCATTGCAGTGTGAACAACATGGCGATAGTATTTTATTAAAATTTATAAAAACTAAATGACCTACAGTATTGTTACGGTATTGTTTTTGGATCTAGGATAAATATTTCCCAAATAAATTCTATTGTAGCAAATAATCATGGATCCCTTTAAACAGCGTCGCCTTGATGAATGATGCTTGTAAAATTATTACACTCACTACTGTGTGCAGCAATAAATATTTCTAGACACAATCGTTAAACATCGATTGAAGATGGCCTTAGACACATTTTCTCGTCTTAATATCAGTAATATTTTCTATATTATTCATGTAAAAAGTTAAATATTTCATATCCTCAGGCAGCAAAAGTGCTAAACACCTATAGACTCGTTATGTACTGATACCCCTCAGAGTTCTTCTTAAAGTACTGCAGTATTTACATTTGTTGGTGTTGTTTATCACACTGACTTTAAAACACTTGACCTGACTTAATGTTTTTGAACTGCAGGACCAGCGTGTCGGTAAATTTGAGCTGTTTTGAGGCCATAACATCTGAAGACCTTCACATAGCCTCACATCAGTAACTGGCTCATGCCTGATCTGATCACTTCCTGGTGATAAACACTTAAATAGCTTACAGTTTTGCACAGGAAATGCTAGTTTAAGATTGATGCATGCGTTGAGATTATTCCACTCCTTGATGGCTGTGCTCCATGCTGCATGCTTGTGTGACATTAACTGGCTTGGTGGTTGCATTTTGAATATTCAAAGGTGCCAGAGGAGCAGTTATCGCTGTTTGGGGAAGTCTTTCCAGACATACTCCGTACTTCCTTTTATCAGGATGAAGAGGCTGCCGTGCGTCGAATGAGTCGCAGGCATATGGAAACGCCTGCGCCCATGGAGATGGACACCCTCTTTGACATGGACATTCTGATGTCCGAGTTCTCAGACACGTTGTTTTCCACACTGACCTCACACCAGCCTTTGGGCTTGCCCAATCCAAGGGAAATTGGTGAGAATTTGGATATTACTTACGTTTAGGTCTGTAGATCCATTTTTCCAGAATGTATATTTCAAATCCCACTTTCCTTCCCCGCCTCTCCAACCTCCTCTTCCTCCAACGCCGGCAGCTCATGCAGGGAATGCAGACATGATCCAACCTGGACTTATCCCCTTACAGCCCAACCTGGACTTCATGGACTCCTTCGATCCACTGCAAGGTTGCGGTACAGTTCCATCCTCCGCAGCAGCACCTCTAAACTAATAGAGCACAAAGGGCAGGGCACAAGCGTACACATGTTCTAGTAACACTGCAGTAGTAGTCAGCTTAGCCTAACATAAAGCCTAGTGTGGTTTTACTAACCTCCAGCTAACATAGAGCCTCTTGTTCCAGACTTATTTCACAGCCTCCGTCAGCCTGTCCTTCCCTCTGTTTCCCCCACTGCAACATCTGTCACCCCTCAACCCAGCAGCAGCTCCCAGTCTCAGGTAAACATCAACCCAAGGCTCCTTTTCTAACTCGCTCCAAAACAACAAGTTTTTTGCTTTGGAAATTTTCCCTAATTGGAATTTATGGTCATTTTCTTTCTTTCGTGTAGCTACACATAAAATTAGTTTAACAGAATAACATTACTAAACTTGGTTTACCACATGTTTTACACATGACTGGTTAAACTGATCAACAATCAGGTAGTTCAAGATGTCGACACTCATTGAAAATGTGTATGAATTTATTTCAGATATCTGAGGTTGGGATAAAATTATATTTCACTCTTTTCACACCTTAGTTGTAATGGTAGCTCGTATTGTCCTCACATAAATGGTCTGTCTCTTTCTTTATTCACCATTAATTTGTCTGTATTTAGGTGTCGACTCAATGAGATTGGGGGGGTTAGGGGGGGATTATACAAGGTTTTAAAAACATTACTGAAAGATAATGCAGCTCAACTGAACCAGTATTTTGCAGAATCGCCTTTCTATGCAAACGTATTGCAAGAGTCATTAAAAAACTGAAGACTTTGTCCATTTTTCTTTGCAAAATATAACTGAACTTGAGTCCGATTGAATGGGGAAAAGTCTGTGATGAAACTTTAATGTTTTGTTAGGTCTGGACTTTGACTGGGACTTACTTTGAACTACACCTTTCCATCATAACTACCGCTTTATAATCGATCTATAATATTGTTTTTCTGTATTTACCTGTTGGCTCTAACCAGTTGTCCCACACTCCTCTGTGATATTTTGAAATGCTGGCATACTTTTTAAAAACCAACATGTTTTTTTTTTTTCATTAGTAATAATAATTTTCTCAAGCCTTCTCAGCCTGACCTCTGCAGTAAACTGGTTTTGCTGGATTTTATTCAGGAGTATTAGTAAACTTTTTTTTGTTTGTTCATTTTTAAAACTTTTTGAAAATCATGCATCGTTTTTCGCTTATTTCATCACAGTCCACTACATTTTGTCAGTTTATCTTTAAATCCTCACTAAACATAGTGGAGTTTGTGGGTTGTTACGTAACAAAGTATGAATACTTTTGTAGCTCCCTGACTGTAGCAGCTCATATTTTCCAATCTACATTGGTTTGTCTGATTCCAGTCCTCAAGATCTACGATCCTGCAACATTTAGATGGGTATCTGCTCCAGCACAGCTGAATCAAATGAATGTCTTATCAGGCCTCTGCAGAGCTGAATGGTTCAGGTGTGCAGCAGAGAGAGATCTGATAGTAGCTCTCGAGGAATGAAGCTGAGCAACCCTGAACCACATTGATCCCGTTTGAATGTCAAAAAGATGTTTTCATGAGAATAATTTCAGCTTGATCTTTTTCTCACACAGCATTTTTTTTTTGTTCAGAGTCAGATCTAATTGAGATCTGTTTGAAATCGACCAAATTCTGTCCTAAATATACATTTTACACATTTATGTTCGAAGATATTTTCTGTATTACAATTTGCTGCGTAGGGAGTTTAAAATTAACATGATTAACTCCTTTAGCTGCTTCAGATTAATTTAAACTCTTACTGATTGTCCCTCAGATGCTCTTCTATATGATTTTGCATTGATGCATTTTAAGAGTTGCATAAAAGAAGAAAAACTAAACTTTAGTCATGTGTACCACCAGAGGACAGAAAGTTTCCAGCTAACATTAACTTTAAAGGATCTTGGTCAAATTTTTAAGGATATTGTGCCTAAAGAAAGATCTAAATCTGTTTCCTTCTGTTATCTTTGCCAGGCCCCGTTAATGTCGACTTTGCAGCTTTCACCCAACCAGATTACGCCTGCATGCTCGCTGTCCATCCACAGCCAGACCAGTCCGACAGGCGGTGGCGGCGGCGGCGGAGGAGGAGGAGCCTACGTACAGACCTACATGCCTCTGTTCGCCGGGCAGGTGGTCTCCAGCAGTCAGTCCACAGCTCCTCTCAACCCTCTGGTACCCTGCCTCCCGGGTCAGAACTTACCCTCCGCACCAGCCATGATTTCCTCACCTTTAAACAGCGGCTCAGAGCTGGATGAAACTGTAGCCCCCTCTGTCGCAACGCACACAGCGCCCTCCCCCGTCACCCCGAGCAACACAGCCAGCACCGACAGCCACGTCTCGGCTCCTCCATCCCAACTCCAGCTCCTCGCGCCGCTACCTGCCACGCCCATCAAGAATCCTCTGGCCTTTGCTCTGCCTCGCCCCTTCCAGTCCAACAGCTCCGGCAAAGTCCGTCCTGTGCCGAGGATCGCGCCGGCAAACGCACTCCCTTCTTCCCAGTTCATCCTCCCAGGTCTGTGGTCCACCAGCAAATTCCTGCATGATGATCCTGTGATTTCTTATCAAAGAGTGGAAATGTGTCACTTTAATTACATGGGGTTACAAAAAATGTTTTTTTAGGGAAGTTGTCTTTGTTTTTTCAACTGAATTAGGATTATTTTGCACCGCTGAATTCAAAAATGACATAAATGACATCCATTTTTCTCAGTCAGCTCAGGTTTTTATTCTGATTTAATTTAGAGAAATCAGATCTTCTGGCCAAATTGGTGACATTTTTGTGACATTATCAGTTCGTTTTTGTTAAAATTTCTCATCCAAAAAAGGCTTTAGGAGGGAAAACATTTTTTCTGACATAGTGCATTAATTAAATGTTACCAACATGGATTTCTGTAAGTTGTAAGATAAACACTGGTAAGGGTAAATGCATGTAAATTGAACATTAGGTCTTCATTGTGCAAAATTCTCCATGTCTTTTCTGTCTTGATGGAGTCTCTTCTCCTGATCGTCACTCATTGATTCCAGATTATCAGGAAACTGATCTATATGTGAGAACAAGTCATGCATTTTGATGCTCATGTTGCATCCATGGTTCAGAAAGTTGACCTGATTGAGCAAAACCATTGTGATTGTTGGGTTCACCGCATCAAAATTACCCTAAAACAGTTGAAAACCCTCAGACTCAGACTGTTGACCATTTTTGTTTCTTCATTTTATTTGTCAAAATCCATCCTCATACTTCATCTATTATTTATTTTGTCCTAAATATGAATGCACACATGTTCCTTCAGCCCCTTTTCCAGGTCATGCTAATGCTGTGATTGTTACGTCTCCACCCTCCACCGGTGTGGTTATCCCCCCTTCCCACCTTGGAGCGGTAAGGTTTTGTTGTACCAGATCAAATACAAAATAACACAGTGACAATATGTTGATTTTCTGGTTATGAAAAGAATAACGCTTTACTAAGTAAACATCCATGTTGGTCATTTTGGGTTCAAGTCTCATTTAAGCTGTATTTTCCATGTCAGAGCCCTGGGTTTCAGGTTCTCCCTCACAACCAGAAGTCGCAGCAACCTGCCGTCCCTGAAGACAAGTCTTGCTTCAGGAAAAACCAGAAAGAGCCCTCAAGTGTCGGTGAGATTTCAAAGAAACCTTTGAGAGTGTAAACTGCCTGTGGAAGAAGGTTTTCCAGTTGGAAGAGAACAAAATACAACTTTTTGGCTTGCATGTGAAAAACAAACACACCATCTCCAAGGTGAGACATGGTGGTGAAAGGGTCATGCCTTTTCAAAGCAGGCACAGGAAAGCTAGTCAGAGTTTCTGGTGTGATAAGAGACTATTTTGGAAGAAAACCCAGTAGAGGCAGCAGAAGAGTTGAGGCTGAGGTCTTTCTTCAGAGATGAACCCAAAATTCTTGATACTGTATCCGTAACAGAAAGTGTTTCTGCACATATTCACTCAGGTGGGGGCAGATTTGTAAGAAGATTTTAAAATCCATTCATTTTCCCTTCAACAGTGCACTACTTTGGATCAAAAATCCCAGTAAACACATCGTTTGTCGTAGTAACATTCAAAAATATGAAAAGCTTCACAGAGGATGAAAACTTTTGCAAATTGCTTCATTCTAAATAGCCAGTGTTTCTCTTTGCAGGTCATAGTCAGACCGGATCCAGTCAAGGGTCACCTTGTGGTTTGGATCAGGTTCCCAGTCCTCAATCTATAATCGGCGGCAGCAGCAAACCTCTGATAAAGAGTGAGCACAATCAGGTTTGTATCTGTGTTTGGGTTTTATCACAGAGGAAAAATGAATAATCCATAGTTTCAGTTTGTCCCTTTAACCCACGCTGTTATCTCTAATAACTTGCGTAACAGAGCCGTCACATATCTGCTGAACAAAAGAGACGATCAAATATCAACATTGGCTTTAAGACACTCGGCAACCTTGTTCCCACTCTGAAGTCACAATCGAACGTAAGTCTGGAATCTTCTCAAAACAAACAAAAAAAAAACCTCTGTAGCCGATTATTAACGTGCCTCCTAATGTTCACCTGCCGCCGTGTTTCTTCACTTCTTGCCTCTAGATTACAAATGCAGTCACTCTACAGAAGACAGTGGAGCACATTGGGAAGCTCCAGCAGGAGCGGCAGCAGCTGCAGGACGAGGTCAAGAGGCTACGAGAGGAAATAGAGGAGCTCAATGCTTCCATTAGGTCTGTCAGAATTACACATTCGCTGACATTTTGTGATGATTTAACTCTTAAAAACAATAGTTATTAGTGATACGCTGAGTTGGTGGGAGAATTTGGGTTTTATAATAAACTATGCAAATTTAAAACAAGGTATTGCATTTACAACTGCGAGCATCTGATTAGCCTCTCAAAAGCTCAAATATTACCTGAACTATGACCCACAGCGACTCTTTGAAGATACTTGGACGATACGCGATACAACATTTATTCTCCCATTGGGATGAGAAAAGCTCTTAATTCTTTTTTTCTTTTTACATTTCCACACAACATCTCATAAGAAAGTGTATCGTTTTGAAAAAGTTTAGTTTTTCTATTATTAACAAAAAAAAAAAAAAAAAACAGTCTTGGAATAAAGCACTTCATCCACAATTAACTAAAGAGCTCATAATGTCATTGATATAAACTTTAAGTTGAGGTTATTTGGGTGTTTTCTGCCGTCAGTGAGCTCAGAAAGTGGACACAATAATTTGATAATAAATGGCTTCACCAAAACATTTATTGGATAACACTGCCAAAAAATGGCCAAAAATATGTAAATTCAGCCAGGGTATGTAAACTTATGGCCACAGCTGTAAATAGAAACCTTCAGGCTGGAGTCATGGAAGAAGTTCATCATTTGTGCTTCTGAGCAGAGAAGTGATCAGCTTGAAAACCTCCACATAGACTCTAGTTTCCCTTTAATGACCTTTTGCATCTCTGGTGCTTCGACTGTCTTAATTCAAACGCATTACAAGCATTCAAAACACTAAACTCGAACAACACTGTTCACTCTTCTTCACTGAAGTCATGCTTGACAAACGAACTCCCTGCGTCTCTCCCACAGCTTGTGTCAGGAGCAGCTGCCTGCGACCGGCGTGCCGATGAGGAAAAACCGCTCTGATCTCATGCAGGACAAGTTCAATGAATATGTGAAGAACCGCACTCTGCAGAACTGGAAGTTCTGGATTGTATCCTTCAGAAGAAAACATGCCCAACTTTTTAATACTTGAAGGAGTATTGTGTTTTTACCGATGTGGAAATTGTTCCAAACCTATTTTATGAACGAAGACGCAGACAGAAGGACCTGTTCCAGCGGGTTCAAGCAGAAAGCTCACCTCTGCTGCGCTTCATTACAAATGGAAAATCGGATGCTGTCGGTACATAAGATTATTTCAGTAAAGAATGTCATGAATGTTGTGTGGGAGCTGGTGAGACATGATGTTCTTGCACTGAGTCATTTCGTAAGTGACTCAGTTTGTCCCTCATGGGTAATTCTGTGGCCACAGTAGATCTTCACAGTGAAACATCTTCTGAAAAGCAGATTGCAGGGACAGATAGTGAGTCGGGGTATTTGCAGTGTTCCCAGTTGCATCATACATTTTTGCATAGGAAATGTGCAACATTATTTTAGAGCTTTCTCAACAGACTGGTTTTTTTTTTTTTTTTTTGGTTTTTTTTTTTGGTTTTCTGAATGACCCATCAGGGAGTCGGCATAATGTCAAACTCTAGGCATCTCAGATTGGCTGGACCATCAGGTCAATAGGTCTCTGCTCTTTTCTTTTTCTTTTTTTTTTTTAAAGATTCCCTTCTTTGTTTTGTTTTGTCTGACTTCACTTTAGACGCCATTTTACGCCCATCCAAAGTCTTTTCATTCGCCTCCGTTCCAAGAAATTTGCCTTGGATAGAGGATTTACACTCCGCAGGCATATTGCACTCCTAATAAAGACAATGTACATAGATTAATAAAAACATTATTAAAGATTCATTTACAACACATTGGAAATTAATGTGTTGTGTAGAGGCTCTTTCCTCCAGCCTCTACACATATTATTGTAGAACTCCTTATCCAGATAGATTTCTTCTGGACACGCTCATCTCGGCGTCTGCTGATTCAGGAAGGAATGAAAGCTTTCATATCCGAATGCAGAACACGAACAGGATCTGTTAAAACACCGGCCACTAGGGGAGCTGTTGTACCCATAATCTGACCTGCTGTCTTAATCTCAGCTAAAATCTGAGCTTTTGATTTTACAGTTAAGATATCCAAATAACATTCAGTGCCATACATTTTAAAATGGACTCGGTTGCCTCTCTGTAAAATGTCATCATAGTATCTGAACAAACACCAAATATCCTGAGTCTGATCAGAGCACAAACGCTGTTCACTAGTGTTTACCCCCAAAGTCATTACCACACCAGATCTCACACACACCCAATGCACAGTTATGGGTCTTTCCAGTGGCTTTTGACAATTTTACAACATATTCATTTGTCTGAAAGCTAATACAGTCATTAGAATAAATAAAAAATTGAACTGATTCAGGGTTGATTCATGCTGCTTAATGAAATCAGATATTATGCAGTAAAACCTCTTTGTCTCTACCGTGTCGCCTCCAGTGAAGCGTCACACCTATTTATTCTTTCATAAACTCATCAGTGAAGCCTTTTTCTGATAAATCATGATGAATCTATTATTGGAATAATCAACGTAGCAAACGATTAATCGTTAACTGGAGTATAAAGACTGAAAAAGAACAAAAGTCAGAGCAGTAATTAAGCCAAAACTGTGCAAAAATATATACATTTTGCATTTAATATATAAAAACCTACTTTCTCTGTGCATATGTTCTACCCAGAAAACGTCATGTGGCATAGTTTTCATCCATTTCAAAATCTGAAAAGAAAAACCTCATATGAAGCTCCTTTTGCCAACAGATCAGTATTTGTGTTCAGTGAAGCAGAAAAAGCTGCTGAGCTTTAACATGTTGATATTGGAAGTATTTTTAACTGGATTAAACTGGTAGTAAAATATTTATTTTTTAAAGAATGAATTTGGTTATCTACTGATTTGCATTTTCTTAATATATACAGTATTGTATAAAAAGCCTTCAGTGGTTTTAAATGACAAACCTGCAGAATGTGCCAAATGTTTTTGTCTGAGTCATCGATTAATAGTCTTGACTGGATCTGGCATTGTGTCGTTTTTTTTTGGCTCCATAAAGAAGTTTTGATTTAACTCTGTGGTTCGTTAAAGGCCCTCTAATGACGAACAGTACGTCCAGTGACGTTGCGTTGTGGTTTCTAATGTTTCTCAGGTTGAACCAGCATTGCTCAAGATGGTGGAAAAATACCTGAACCAAGTCCAACTTTCACTTTGTGTGGTATACATTAGTAATCAGTTGGAGAGAGATCAAAATCAGCCAATTTTCTCCTAATTATTTATAACTGATGATCTGCAAAGCAAAATACTGAAAAATGTAATAGATTTATTTTTTATGTTCATCATTAAATGCATCAAACTAAGACATTCCAGTTTGAGCTGTAAAGTATCAACAACAACATGAACTTTGATACAGTTTGTTTGTTTGACGCAATAATTAAATGGATGCACGAGGTTTCCCCCAGAAAACCTGCTACGCCCGGTGGTTAGGGCACTTGGCAGTCATTCATCCAGCGACCCGTTGTGTTTTTGAGTTAAAAAATGTTTAAGGTTGACAGGAAATTTGAAGATTGGAATATTAATATCTGAACACCAACTATAAAGTCTTTTAAAAAAATGCAGGCATTTAAAAAAAACTTAAATAAATAAGCAATGCTAAGCCTGGTGGGGCACAAGTAAAGCCTGGTGGCCTACCAGGCTTATAATACTCTGGGGGAAATTCTGGATGCATAAATAAGGCAAATATTGTAATTTCTCTATTTTCTGTCTGATTGAACACTACCTCTACCAAAGAACCTGCAGCTCTTTTCTGTTTTACAGGGTTAGAAAATAAAATAAAGAAAACCAAATATTCCTATCGAAAGGGAAAAGCCACATTGATGCATCTTTAGTTTCAGGTTTTTCATCGTTTAGTGAAGGGGAAACATTTCTCATTACTGTTTCATTCCCTCGATTCTGCTGGACCAAGACATCTGGATAGGTGTTTAATTTCCATTCGCTCCTCAGTATTTTATGTTTCATTCTTTCTGATACTGACATACAAACGGGCACTTCTGGAAAAGACTGAAAAGCTAAAATAAAAATGTGAGAGTTGCGGATGTTTTGTTAGACGTTATGCGTTGCGTTGTATGTTTGGTGTTGAATGATGCTGAATTTATCCTTGACTAGTGCGCCTCAGTTCAGCATCATCATCAAACCACTGTTTGAGTCGTTCAGTGGAATGGTTTCAACGACGAGCAGAGAAGAGCTCTGTCACACCACGCTGCAGTGGCTCGACAATCACTGCTCCCTTCCTGTCCTCAGACCCAGTAAGTAAAACATCACCTGTTTAAATTATGATTAGGTAATACTTCATCGGTTATGGGTCATCTGTAGTAAAATTCTGATACCTCTTGAACGTTCTCCACATTTTGTCACATTTTAGCCTCAAACTCTGATGTTATTTTATTGGGATTTTATATCGACTGACACAAAGTAGCACATCACTGTGCAGAAACTATGCATAGTTCAGTTTTTTGTTTTGTTGGGTTGCTTCTACAAATATAAACCTGAATGTTTTTGAGCATATGGAAGCTAATCAGCTGTAGCTACATCACGTGATGGGTAACCTAGACAAGACGAACATTGATCAGGGAAGTAGCAAAGAGGTTCATGAAGGCTCTGGAGGATGGATTTCTTCAGCAGGAAGTGGGAAGCTGGACAGAGGTTCAACTTCCAGCAGGTCGACAACCCTAAACATACAGCCAGAGTTGCTTTAGAATGATGCAGAACGAAGCACATTCATGTTTTAGAGTGGGCTAGTCAAAGTTCAGAGAGAGATCTCATTGAGAATCTTTGCCAAGCCTCCTAAAAATGTACATCTACAGTAGCTCCATCCAGTCAATTTTGCAGGTTGGGCAAAAATTTTCTGTCACATAAGTCCCCAATGAAATGCTTTTTACTTTGTTGTGGTTGTAATGTGAGAAAATGTAGAACATTTAGGTGGGTGTGATTACTTTTCTCAAGGCCATTGTAAATTATCTGCTACGATAAGAAGCTTTAATACTCAAAATGAGTTTCCTTGTAGATTGGGTCAGACATGTTAAATGGTTTTTGCTTCACAACAAAGCCTGACATCATAAATTAAGAATTGTAACACGAGGACTATTAAAGGTTTCTGTCCCTCAGATTCACATTTTATGTTGCAACCTAATTAGCTTCTTAGTAGTTATTTTTATGTTGATGTATTCTTGTTTTGTTTTGTTTTTTTAGTGCCTTCTCAGATGTGTTGATTATTGCATAGAGATTTTGTTAAGCAAAATAAATGCAGATCAGCACTTGTCAGATTTTACATTACAGGTTGTGGAGTTTAGTGCCGTTGTGGAAAGCTTTAAATATCCCACTATGTGTCATCAGCCACATGAACTGGGTCAATAAATTTCAGCAAACTCATGATGATTGATTTTTATTTATTTTTTTAGTCCTAAAGCGGTCTTTATTTTCAGTAGCTGAAAAGTGTGTTCACTTCGAACACTTCCTGATGCGTGTCTTCAAGAGATAAGCATTGGAAACTTTTATTGGCTTAGAGTGGCTCTAAGTTTTACTTTCTAAATCATTTTTGTGGTGTTGCATTGCATCTATGTTGAGCGGCAGTGTTTTTGCTTTGATTAGTCATTTTAAACATACAGTGTTGGTGTATTAAAGTAAAAAACATAAAACCTCTGTGGGGGCATGGAGTCCTGTGGCTATATCGGTCCTCTCTGGGGAAACACTCAGTACTTCTGCTCATGTTCTGCAGTCACATTTCTTACAGCCCACAGATTCAACATGCAACCCGTTTGCTTTTCTCATTAATCCTGTCTTCAGCTGAAGAAGGAAGCTGTTTTCAGAAACCAAAAAGAAAATGTCTCGGCGAAGTTTTCCTCACGTCTGTGAGGCATTTTGCTCAACCGCATGAGATTATAGATTATTATGGATTATTAGAAGTTTGTTTTCTGTCTGAATTCTTTCTGAGGAAATGCATCAGTTGGGGTTAAATAACTTTTTGCCAGCTGAAGAACAATCACTCATGCAGCAATGATCCTGATGAACTTAATAAACTAGAGTATGAATGAATGTTTTCTGTACATCTTATATGAATTGTTTAAAGTCCCAAATTGTTCTAAAAAATGTCCTGCTGTGCAGTAAAGATGAGGAGGTTGTATTAAGTTAACAATGATTAATGTTAGAGCACTGATTTCAGGTTTTGTTTAAAAAAAAAAAAAACTTTTTTTCTTCTTCTTTTCCCCTCTCAGTGGTGCTGAGTACACTCCGTCAGCTGTGCACTACCACGTCCATCCTGACCGATCCCTCCCTGCTTCCTGCTGAAGCCCTTGAGGCTGCCTCTAGCAAAGACGTGTAGCCGACCTCTCAGGAGTGGACGCAACCCAAAAGCCATTTGAACATTTTTCAGCATCAAAACTGTTTTCCTGCAATATCCAGGAAGCTCGCTGTGTCTTCCAAGCACTCGCAAGTTCCCAGACGAATCGGTGAAACAAGAACTGTAACATGGGACGGGATTACTGTTACTCTGAATGTAACAGCTTTACATTTGGTCTGCTGCATAATGCAGCAGACTGCCTGATGCAGTAGATGCCACCTTCACCTGCAGAGAAGTGTTTAGATAATCTCCGCACAAGTGATTGCAGAGATTGTCTAAACACTTCATTGGAAACTGGTACTTGTATTTTCATTTTACATCATAGAGTTGTTTTCTGATGCAAAGACGCATATTAAGAAAGGGAAACTGTGATTTTTTTTTTTTTTTTTTTTTTTTTTTGCCCCAGAAAAAAGGGGTTTTGTTTTTTTTTTCGGAAAACAATCTTTTTT